ACAGGCACACACACACACACACACACACACACACACACACACACACACACACACCTCCAATGGCCGAACGCTTTTAGACAGCCACCCTCTCCCTGTCAGTCGTACGTTCTCTCCTGCAAAACACTCCCCCTATAACAGCCACTTCACACATCCTTAGTGGTGCAGCTCACATGTTCACACGCGTGTACGCTACACACACTCCCACCCACGCAAAGGCCAGCAAAGCCGCAATAAAACCAACCCAAGCGTTTCTGTTGTGGATCCTAATCCACTTTTCTACTTAGCTAGCGAGTATATTTCTTCCACACTTCTCCCCCCTTCTCCCTTCATTCCCTTTTTCTCTCTACATCTCCATCCCTCTCTTTCTACCCGAGAAAACAATACAAAGGGGGCTGATTTGCGTAAATGCTGACGCTGGTGGAAACTTAGCTCAGTCGTGCTTTTAAGAGCCTCTCTTTTAAAGGATGCCAAAGAACAGCAATAAAAACACAACCACAAACTGGAGGAGAAGGCCTTAGCAACATCGTTCAGACGGTGCTTTTGGCATTTTCAGACATGTATCTCTGTTTTACTGATGGTCAAAAGGTCATGAAAATATGTCCTTTTTTAGGTTAGCTGGATTTTGGTAATGGAGTTTACCATGTACTACGCTTCCTAGAAGTACAGATGGAGATATTGTGTATGGCTGGTTATGACTGAAAGGTTTTGAACTTTGGGTTCACTTTGACTGGTTGCAAATGGAAAATATTATTTGGTAACAAGAGATGGAAAAAGTACATTCAAAGTCTTAAATGGAAATATTACACTATGAAGGTATCACATCTGCCAACTGTGGTAAAAAAAAACATCCTTTCCAGATTCAAAAGTATATTCTAAACTAAAAGTACAATGTGAAAAAAGCGATTAGCTCAAACCAACTCAAACAAAAAGGAACAATGAATACAAGCTTTAACATCCTTATCCTTTTCCCATTGGAAACAAACATTGAATGGATTCAATTTCTTCTTATAATGCAGTACAACTTCCAGGTAGAGAGTGCAGCACTCAAAAATAAAGTGTTTCTGGCACAGTGATGAAGTCAGTGTGTCTGAGGCAACACTTAAAAACACAGTCAATGCAACACTAACCCCAACCTCAATGTTAAGTATCACTTGTCACGGCAGTCATGGGAGTTGGGAAGTTGTGGATCTACTGTACTTGCTCTGCGTGTTCACAGAGAAAGACAGAAAAGACATGCACAGGTGCAACACTGTGCTGGTGTAGTGGAGGAGAAAACAAGTTTAGCATATGGTATGAAGAGCTCAAAGGCAAAGTAGTTTTCCTGCTCCCTAGTCAACTTCCGGTAAAAACAAAATGCTAATAGACAGTAAAAAAAACAAAAAAAAACAGGATTATCTACTAGGTGTTTTTTTCGAGTTCAAAAAATGTATATACCTCAACGTATTATCAGAAAAATGGCTAGTTTCGATTTTCATTTGAAGTGTGTTTATGAAGTGTGTACCTGGGTGAGCTGCTCCAGATCATTAAAGCCCTCCAGGACCCTCCGGTACTTCCTCTCCCTGTACTTCCTGCGGATGAACGTGGCGCGCTGCTCGGCCGAAGCCCCGCTGTAGAGTTCCTCCTCCAGGGGAAGATTAGCAGCCCAGAAACTGTTAGCATTCTTGTTCCCCACCTCAAGGAAGAGCTAAAGAAAAAGGGTGACAGGACAAACGCAGGTGAGAATAAGGGTTTAAAATAAACATTTGCCAAGCCCTAATGAGACAAGTTTGCCTTGGCAACACAATGTGTTAATTTGTATTTGACTTTAACTTATGTGGCCTTTGAAGCTTTGAAAAAGTAGGTTATGTTGAAACACCATTCTAATTGAAAGGCAATTGGATTCTGTTGTTAAAAAGGGTTGAGAGGAGGAATATTGCTTTTGCTGATAAGTACCTCCACCAGCTCATTGCTCCAGATGCTGCTGTCCAACTTCAAGCTTCGAACTTTGGATATACTTGGTCCAAGGGAGCGGTGCTGCCCTGATACACAGAAAGAAACACCCTTTGTGAGTTCACAGATACAACAAAAAAGAACATAAGCTCAGAAAAGCAAATAACCTTTGGGTGTATAAAACCTCAATTAGATATATTCCAAAATGCATGGCTTTTAGTTCCTGAAAAGTGCACACAGAAAAACTAAAAATCAACATGTTCAAGTATGCAGAGAAATCTCCATAGTGTTCGTACAAACATAGACCACATGTCAGTGGTGGAATAAACAATAAACAGGCAGTTACAAGACCGAGAAACCGAGCATGACTGGAAGCTCATTCGCTCACTCACAACAGACATATTTAGTCCCCTCAGCACTCCTAATTGGAAATGAAAGCACAGAACGAAGGCCATTAATTGCTAATGAATCATGAGTAATTCATTGTGTTTGTGGGTCGGCCTGTTTATTTGGGTGAACGAGGGGCTTCTAGCGTTGCTTATAGCCAAAGACAGTAGACATGCATAATACATTAAGCAGAAATACGCTGTATGTGTGAATGTGAATTATTGTCCTGTGTGTAAAGGCATATCATTTTAGATTTAGTTTTGGCATGATCTCATTACAGTCTTCTATGCTCAAGTAGAGCAGTTGTGAATGGAAATGTAGGGCCTTGAGCTGTCGGAGGCCATCTTGACACATTTTGGTATTATTTGTCATCTGAGTTATTAAAAGAGAGTCTTGGAAATCCTCTTTGATAACTAGTGATTATGATTGACTATACCTACTTTAGAAATACTGATACTTCATCATGTCTATGCTCAGCAGAACAAATCATAAAATTAATGGACTGGTCTAATTTCTCCCAGATCTGATTTTTTATCCAATATGCCAAACCAAATCCCATTGTGGTCAGACTTGATGTGATCAAATAGTGAATATATTAGGACAAAAAGACAGTAGAAGATTTCCTGCAGAGCTATGAAAATTAACAGTTGTGTGGATATATCATTTAGCTCAGTGTATGTATGTATGTATGTATCTAGAAAAGAAACATGAGCGGACCAAGTATTACACCCTGTGGAACGCCACATGAGATGTTATGGTAATCAGAAAAATGCTTACCAATATTTACAAAAGAACAGTCCCGTTTTTAATTATTAGGTATAGGAACACTTTTCTAAAAATACCAGCCACATGTTTGAATGTGTAATGTATAAGCCCTGTTCTTTCAATTGTATAACATATTATACTTAAATTATCCCTTAAGTTATCCCTTACATCAGCATTTTCTGGGGTAGTTATACACTTGAACAATCACAGTCTAACATAAGTAATGTTGGATTTGCAACCTGCTTGTTTAAAAGGGAATCATCTGGTTTAAAAAAAAAAAAAATCTGTCAAGAGAGAGACACTATAATCCTGGATGTTTTACCAAAATACATATTTTCACTTTCTAATAAAAGTTGCAATTGAATCGTCCCTATGAATATAAATAGAAGACATTTCCTTCCATTATGGTTATTATCAAATATCTTGTTGGAAAAGTTAATGATAAAGTTAAGTGGGGATGCATTAGTGTGTTCAGACTTGAGTTTAAAATGGTTTGTCAATCGCAAAAGTCACATTGAAAGGAGAGGAATGATAACTGTCTTTGAAACCACTTGAGTCCAGCTTGAGAAAAAAACAACAACAAGAAGATTCTGTCACTTTTGCCTGAAAATGTGTCACTCTGGGCGCCTGCTGCATTTCCACAGCCACGCTCTATCCCAGGGGTGTCAAACTAAATTTCATCGCGGGCCACATTAGCATTATGGTTGCACTCAAAGGGCCGGATGTAACTTTAAGACTATATAAAAATATAACATATATAAAATAATGTATTATATTATTGCCTCTGCATTGGATTATTATCGGATAGGGTAATAACTTCATAATTAACTACGTCTGAAAGCAAAAGTCTAGGGCAAATAATTGCAAGTCCTTTCAGTGTGCATGTCACAAAATTAGATGCATTGTGGGATATGTAGTTTATTGGCAACGTGCTTTTGTAAAGCGGCATGTAACCTTATAATAAACGTATTATATTCTTTGCAAGCTCTTGCGGGGCCACATAAAATGAAGTCGCTGGCCGGATTTGGCCCCCGGGCCTTGAGTTTGACACCCCTGCTCTATCCGCTGAGCCTTACAGCTCCACAGGACCATTTTCACTTGTGTAAGGGTAATGAAGCTGAAAAAAAAGCATGTTCATGCGCACGTTGCACTGGGCACATGGTGAGATCTTTACATATAAATAGCCAGTTGTAAATGTATTCATCATTCTGATTGAACCAAAAAAAACCAAGACAAAGAAAAGGGCATTCCCATCACAGCAGCTATCACTAAAGAAACACACTCAGGATGTCACCCCCAATTAAAAACGTTCCCCGCGACAGTTCGTGGAGTGCTTTTCTAACCCTGTGTACTTGTGTGGCATTTTCCCCTCACTCAATGACGAGTCAAAGGAAACAAGGCGAAGCAATGAGCACTGCATTTGTCTGTTACCATGGGAACTGTTGCCAGCTGACGTGTCTACAAGTTGCATCCTGAGTTTGTTGCAATTACATGTGGGGAGAAAGGCCTCTGAGTCTTTGGTTTAAAGCACTATACGCTGGTTTGTATGATTGGATTGTGTGAAAAGGTGGAAAAGAGAGGAAACACAAGCTACATGTCGATCATAGGGTAGCCAAGTGCTAAAGTATATCCTGCTTTATCATCTATTTTTATGTAAATGGCATCATAATGTACAAAATGTGCATTATACTTTATTTAAGAATAGTATAGTCAATTAACACGTAGAGGAAAATGTTAACTTACAGTGTAGATGATTAATCAAGTGAGAATTAGGGTTATTTTTTCATAGACAATAGACTTGTTTTCTTTACCAGTAATCATTTAAAAAAATGCAGGTTGAAAACATTTTTCTTTCTAATAGAAGCGAATAAGAAAACTGGATAAAACACAAATCAGCAGCGGATTAGAAATGTGTTTATCTTCTGGTGTAATTAAAAAAAAAACACAAGTTAGCCTTGGCTACAAATAATGTTTTGAAACAACACTTTCACCCAGGATTTTGTTTGGTTGTGTTGTTGAGATTCTTTTTTTAAATATTCACAAATTATCGTTTTTCATGCAATTGAAAAAAGTTAACAGTCTTTCAAGTCCAAGCATACAAAGAAAAATGAATGAAATTTCTCTAAATCAGAGGGTGAAGCTTGAGACTATTAAAATTAATTCCATCTTGGCATAAAAATTGGAAAGCCAATCTAGGATCATTTTTACCATTAGCCCTCTCATTACTTCTCCCCTCTTTCAGATTTTCTCTTTATTGTCAATGACATGGGAGCGCTAATTAAAAGCATGAGCAGTCATTGGTATTCCAAATGGGCCGCCACCTAATTTCAGGAGAGCAGAGTCTGAGGACAGCTTCCTTGTTGCAGATATTCCCCCTCTCTCAGCCAGCATGTCGACAAAATGTAATATTAAACAGTCCAGCAAATGAAATCATTTAAGAGCGTTTGAAAAGGGATGTTGGATATCTAATGCGTACCAATTACATGGGCTTTGCGGAGGTGAGGTCAGGAAATGCATTTAAACGTATGAAACTGGGAGGAATCTGTGGCCCAGGGTAGATATGGACGGGGTGGGAGGAATGGATAGAAGAGTGACATCAGGCATGGTTGCTCCTTCTCTAATCATGTTTAGCGGGTCAAGAGGCAGTTTGGGATCCCTCAGGGTCTTGCCCGTGTCTAAATCTTTGTTGTCATTTCATCTGAGCCATCCAGGATTGGCAAATAGATTAGAGAGTCTAGAGGCCAGGCGCCAACTCCCATAAGTGGCTTATCACCTGAGAACTTCTTCCAAAAGAGCCTCTGGGTCAGAGCACACTTTCACGCAGACACAAACAAACACCAGACCATTTGTAACAATTAAGATTGAGTGCTAAAGATGCTTTTTCTACTCCAAGGTTTGGAATCATGTTAGAACATTTTCAAATACAGCTTAGGGTCGCGATGTTGTTCCTCTGTTTACCTTTACTCACTATACTTAAAGGTGGGGTAGGTAAGTTTGAGAAACCGGCTCGAGATGCACTTTTTGTTATATTCCATGGAATGCTCTAAACATCCCGATAGCAATGAATATCTTAAGTGCTTTGACAGGAAAATCCATTTAAAAAAAAGCCGTAGTACTGTAAAAAGCACGACCAATCACTTGAGACGGACGGCTAAAGTAACTGGATGGCCTACCTGCCTGTCAGCCTTCCATCTGTGCACAAACTTATCTCGTGCCCTCATTGGTCATGTGCGCGTTCGTGTGTGTTGGAGGAGGGGCTCTGTAAGGAAGTAGCAGATTCCTTCCGGCTGTGTATTTTCAAATTATAGCGCACTCGAGCTGGTTTCTCCAAAATTACCTACCCCACCTTTAATAGATTTATTTTTGAAATTAATAACTGAATAAAAAATGTTCACTATTAATTCAATTCTAACCAAAATATTTGAAGGAAAGAAGGTCTTTTATATCGCATGCCTTGTGTTGGATCAACAAAATGCCAATACATATATATATTTAAAAAAAGTTCTCACCAGTCTCAGAACTTTGTCTCTGTTTTTCAAATATTTGTATTAAATAACATATTTCTCCAGGAAAACTTTCTAAATAATGAAAGGGAAACTATTGACCCAAATAAGTTAAGAGTTACATTACAAACCTTATATACTGGTCTTGCTGGTTATTTAAGAATGATCAAGTAAAGTTGTTTTTACAGCCTGTTAGCTTACATTCAAAGTGCTTCATGTTTACTTATGGGGGGGTTGTGAGTGCAGTATGTTCTTTTTGACCAATGTATGCCAGCTTCTAGCAGGGGACTCTGCATCAGAGAGTTGAAGGAAGGCAATAGTAGATTAGCATATATATCCCTCACCTGCACACTTCTTGCAGATGACCACGCCCAGGTTGACCGAGGCCCACTCCGGCTGCAGGGCGCGACAGTCGGCGCAGCTCTTGTTGGCCTCGTTGAACCAGATCTTCTCCGCCACTTCATAGTCGGAGAGTGTCTCGGCGATCGATTCCTGGACCGCTTCAATCCACTCCTCCTTCTCCAGTTCTGACTCGGCCGTGAAGCTGCAACGATTGATTTTTTTAGCCCCACCACCCCAACACATGCCTCAGTGTTATTGATTTGATTTGAGAGAGCAATTAAACAGCAAAGTATCGCTTGGCAGTGTTAGGGGGTGTGTAGTATTTGGAGTAGTTTTTGGGGGTCTGCTGAGTGTGTATGCCGATGTGTGATTGCAATAGATTTGCTGAAATTGATAGGGGAGTGGGCAGGGCAGGTAAATCAATTTGTTTCACCTTGCCCCAAAAATCTATAAAGTGTTAATGCTCGATGCATTTTCAGGAAATTATTTCTCTAATAACAAGGTTAAGAAATGGTGATGGACAAAGACATACAGCGTCGATATACAGAGTTTACCACTGTTCTTCCTTTAGGAAATGCATTGAGAACTTTCCACATAATTACATGGGAGCCGGTGGAATAACATGAGAGCTCTAAGATTGTAGTGTTTGACAGTGAAGCGGATGATGGACGCCTGAAGCCTGTGGTTTTGAGAATGATTGACATTTTTAAACAATACGTGCGATTTTTTTTTTCAAAGTGATTGAAGTTGCAAACGGCTTAGTAGTAACTGACATTATAGTCAGGGAAAACATAATCATCTCATTATAGTTTAAAATATCCTAAAATTATTTTATTTTACATTTTTATTTTCAACACCCGTTTTTTTGAAGCAGTATATCCTTAACGGAGCCAGCCTTAACTGATATGCTAATATCAAAACTTTCCAGGTTAGGAAATGATTGTAAATTTATGTTACAGGTTTTCTTTCTACCAGCTTTTGTGCTGTCATAAGTATAGTGTGTTGAGTAAGGGATAATGTGCAGCGAGGCGGTCATTCTGGGGAAAAGAAAACCCGACTTTTCCCCATAAGGACCAAGTCGCTGCACATTATCCCGCTTATTACACAGCCATATACTAAACAAACTAAGGAATCGATTCCCAATATTAATTGAAATGATTTTATTTACTTAAAAATGATCGTATTTCTTCCTCTCTGCCTTATTCTGGTGGTTTATCTGACGTCCGTTTCACCCTCTTTTACTTTCTCTTTCTTGATCCTCCTTAGCAACGGTCAATAAATCCTTGACAGTGGTCTGTACTACTGTATTAACAACGTATCACGTGTCAAGTCTTTGTAATGCATACGTTTTCATATAAAATGAGAAATACTTATACTATGCATATCTAAGACATTTATTTTATCTGGGAGAATTTTGACTGGAAACCAGGTTTTTCTAATTCTTTACCTCGATTAAAAAAACAAATGTTCTGCAGAAAGTAAACTCCAATGCGTGTACACAAACTTTAGGATAATCTGGACCTCAGCCCTGATCTAAACCCCATTCAACACTTTTAGGAATGAAGAAGAACTTTGAGAGCGAGCCGGCTCTTATATTGCCCAACATCATTTCCTAACTGCACTAATGTGGCTGAATGGAAGAAAAATCAGTCCTGCCAAGCATTCAATAAGCCTTCCAAGGAAAGTAGAGGCAGTCTGGTTTCCAAATACTTTTTGCCATAAAGTGTCTTTTGCAAGAGCAAGTTTGAGTCAAATTGGCTGAATCTTATCTTTTCATTAAACTGATGAAACCAGGAGGGTCAAACCATCCATATTTCATTTGATATGATGTGTAATAAATATGCACACAACCCACTCATACAGTTAATGGCTTAACTGTCATAGCTCCCAAATTGGCCGTCTTTCAGAATACTCACTTGCCTCTCAATCCATCCACACACACACACATACACAGATTAATGATGTAATATTCTGTCTAACAAGCACTTATACAGATAGCTGGCAGAGACAGAAAGAACGGGTTTCTGATGGAGAAAGTGATGAGTAGAAGTTGGAAAAGTTGTAGCGAGTAACTCAGAATTACATAAGGGTACGATAAGCGTATGTAACTGTACGTATCTGTGCGTATGTGTGGGGATAAGAGACGAAGACAGACAGCAAGATGGACAGGCATATAATACTGAGAGGAAATAGGAGAGTTTTAGCTTGACCGAAAGAAGCACTTAGGAAGGAGAAATGGGACCACTGGTCTCCATGGCAACCGGACGACTGGTATAAAAGTAAGACTGAGGATAAGGAAGGGAAAGGAGACGATGGGGAGGGGGAAGCTTGTGCCCGAAGCAGAGGATGTGCACCGCCTCGCCCAAGTACCCCGACAAAGATCGATAGGTTGATTGGGTTCAGACGTTGGGAGCCCATCGCTCTCGGCCCCGGGCCCCGTCTAAAGAGAGGACTGCTCACATCCACAGATGAACTGCAGCACGGCCTCCAAAACCACAGAGGAGCAAAGAGAGGCGAGAGTATGTGGAGGTTCCCCGAGCCGCAGAGTTTTAGATATGAAGCGAAGGCTGGTCTCAGGTGACGGGGCAAACTAAACTACAGTTTACAAGGTCAACAGGTGGAGAAGAGGAATACAGAGTGAAGAATTATTTGGGAATTCTAGCAGTGGAGTAAAGTAACAACTGACATTGTTGCCTTTTCTCCGGCTATAAGTGTAGTTAATGTTTAAAGCTTAGACACACTGAACGACAGCAAAGGAGCAGTGGTGACTGGGATGTTGCGTGGCCCTACGTTGCCTGCGTCTTGGCCAAAAAGTTGCATTTGAACACACCGCAAAGACTACACCGCCCATGTGAGAGGCTATTTAAAAAAACTAAAATATAATATTTCAAGCATTCACGTATTGTTTTAATATTTCCATCACAACAACAGGCTACAGGCCACCATTATACTCTGCCCTGTCATAGAGCTCTCATGTTAAAAGAAGCTGCTCCATTGTAATGATATGGTTATTAAAGCTATAGGCTCAGAGTGCTCCACACATATGAAGAATACTTCAATATAAGCCAGGAGATGGTTATATCAGTTTAGTATAGCATAAAGACTAAAACCAGTAGCTCCAAGACAAGAATCAGGCCGACACCTAAAACCAAAACCTTGTATTTTTTAAATGGATAAGTGGATTTTTTGATGTTCTTGTAGGGCTGCTCGATTATGGCGAAAATCATAATCTCGACTATTTGGGTCAATAATTGATATCACGATTATCAAAAACGATTATCCATTTACTTTGAAAACATCAATTTATTGGAGACATTTTTTTTAACAGTATGTTTTTAACAGTTGATTACCCTGAACTTTATAATTCAACTGAAAAACCAAAGAAAAA